CTCAGTCAGTCTCAAGTGGATCCAGAGTTGTGGGTCCTCTGCTCTGGCATGTAGCCCTAGAAATTTTAATCACCTGGACACCCTAAACTCTGTTCTCCTTCAAGTTGGTGAGACCACAGGTTCTGTCCGGGTCACCACTCCCCACACTATAGTCTGGAAACTGCTTCCAGGTGGGAAGATCGGGTGGCTGTGGGGCTCATTTTGTTTCCCTTCTGTCAGAGGTCTGTTCTGAGCTGCGACTCGTCTAGTGTCTTGAATTCAATCATTGTTTCATACATTTTGCCCAGTTTAGCAGTTGTCTGAGGGAACAGGGCAAACCTGGTCCTTGTTACTTTTTTGTGTCTGTAAGCAGAACATGAAATGCAGTTTTTACCAGGCTGCTGCTTCTTCACTCTGCCAGCCCACACGCAGAATCTGTTCTTGTCCCTCTCTCCTGCCTTCCCTCTGTCCATCCTGCTGCAGAACACAGGCATCAGCACCTCAGAGCACGTGTCTTCATCCTCTGGCCACAGCGGCACCTCCCACTGCTCCTCATCCATGACGACAGAGCTCCGTGAGCGTGAAGTATCAGGACACGCCCCCTGCCAGAGCCTAACTCACCCCGTTTCTGGGCGCCAGCGTGCTCTGCTGTGGCCTGCCCCTTGTCTAATGCTTGAGACAGAAGACATCCCTGACACGATTCTGGACGCGGCACGTACTGCTGTTTGTTCTCTTCTCATAGAGCCAGGGCAGGGTCTCCAGCCTCTTGGTGTGCCCAGCCAGAGAGGCCGGAGATGGCCACGCGGGGACTGACAGACGCTGCGTCCTTTCCTTGGTACCTGAGACTGGGATACTTTCACCCTGCTTTATTTTCTCTTCAACCACAGGAGGCCCCACTGCTCCCAGTCTTTTCCCTAGCTGCAGGAAAACAGGCTCAAGGAAACTGGGTGGCCAGACCAAAATCATACTGCTAATCCCTGCCCTGCTTTGCTTTTCCTTCTTCTTTGAAAAGTAATTTTTTTTTAATTTACAAAACCAATATTTGCTGTGTAACAAAGTTAATAATCTTCTCCTTTCCCTGTACCTACAATCACATTTCCTTAAGACAGCCAGTGTCCTCAGTTTTGATACTTATTCTTCCACATCTCTTTCCTTGTTCACATGAGCAGCTTCCAGCGTATGTAGACATGGGGCTTAACCGTATTGTTTTAAAAGTGGGATCAGACTGTACACATTCCAGTGCTTCCCTTTGTTTTTATGGACGTATAATTCACATACCATAAAATCCGTCCTTTTCAAGCGTACAATTCAGTGGTTTTGAGTGTGTTCACAAGGCAGTGCAACTGTCAACCGTAGTCAGTTTTAGAACATTTCTATCGCCCCCAAAAGAAACCCTGTATCCATTAGCTATCACTCTAGCCCTCAGCAACCACTAATTTGCTTTTCGTCTCTCTGTATTTGCTTATTCTGGGCATTTCATATAAGTGGGATCATACCATATGTGGCCTTTTTTGGCTTCCTTCACTTAGCATAATGTACAACACATACCTTTGGATAGCTGCATTATTTTCCGTGGTCTGCCTGTAGGCGCCTACCCTAATTTAGTCAACCATCCTGATGCCTTGGTTGGTTGGTTGGTTTCTGGTAAGTACAGTGCTGGCAATACTCAGCCTTGCATTTGCTTCCTTATGTGCAGAAACTTTGTTTCTACAGTGTGAATACCCAGAAGAGTAGAACAATTCCCACTCCCACCAAAAATGCTTCCTCATTGCCAGGATGCCAGGTTTTAATTAGTGCTCCCCTGATAGGTAAAAAGTGTTACGTTATTTTGTTTCAATCTACGTTTTCCTGACCAAAAAAAAAAAAAAA